AGAACTTATTCCTTTTAATGAAACAGAAAACATAAGCCCAACAACCACAATAACAGCCCAACCACAGCATGCAGACAGAGAGTGAGGAGGCTGGTGTTGGTACACAAGTGAGACCAGGAAGACAGAGGATCACGGGGAGGCCAGCACCAGCAAGCACTGAAAGCAACACACAGTTAATGCCGCCAAGGGAGAGGTGGGACCTTAGAAGTTAATGTCCCTGCAGCTCAGGTAAAGTCCCTCACAGAGTGACCAGTTTACCTAGCCCAGAATCCATGCAGATGGGAGTATGCATCCTTACAGCAGTGGCCTCCAAACAGGGTGACCACCCCAGAGCACAAGCAAGGCAATTCACTCAACTTTGTCTTTAAAAGAAATTAAGTTTTGCTAAACATCAAATTTAGATTAACAGCAGCCCCTACCCCACCTGCATTTTGCAGGGTTCCAGGGCAAGTATGTTATGTAAATTGTGCTTGGGGAAAACACTGTTGGATGGTGTGAGAGAAGGCATTTAGTTGCTTTCAGCATATTGAGTCATACTGTGGTTTCTATACGTATTTCCAGGCACAAGGACTTACCTACTTGATTATGTTGTCCCTGCTAAACCAACCCTCTTAAATTGAATAAGTAGCTTTAAAAGATTCTTATAAAGAAACAGCAAACCCCCAAAAGAGTAATGACAGCTATTCAAGAGCCACACAATGAAAAAACATTACGATTTGCCAAGAAGTCAGCCAGAAAACTTGAGATGATCATGAAGACTTTTGAAGTGGGGATTCGTGCTCCCTCATGGTTAAGGATTCTCGAAATTCACATACACAGTGAAAAGTGGGAAGACAACAGGATTAACAGAAGCTAGAGACCAAGAAGAAGATGAACCTCTACAATGTGTTCAGCAATATTCAATGTCCTGAAATACCAACTCTCATACTTGCTAAACAATGCTCACTAAATATAATCAAAAATGTTTACTAGCCTTTTTAAGGTTTTCTCACTTATTAGCAAAAGACAAAAAGTAGTATGACACTCTAAAAAATACTGGTTCTTCATGTCATAGAAATATGGGTGAAATACTTGGTAAAAACTGTGGATAAGAAACTGAATGTTTGTTTTTGTCAGGAAGCACTACTGGATGATACTGCTGACAGTCTGAAGACTTAAGTGCAGGAATAAATTTTCCAGGATGGGAGGTAGAGTAAAAGAACAGATGTTTCCAACATGTTTCCTCATGCAGTCTCACTATAAGAAGAAAGGTACTAAAGGAGAGAGGAAGTGCTTATTTTTCAAAATTATTCACCCTAAGAAAGAGCTGTACAGGCAAACTAAGTTCCCATTCCCTCACAGAATGGCTACTTTGACTGGAATTTTTTTTTAAAGGTAGGATGGTAGACTCCATATTAAGTATTCAGCACATAATTCAGAGGCAAGAAATGTCATACACAAAGTGGATTTCACTGATGTAAAACAAATAAAATTAGAACCTATAAGATACAGTAGAACATTTACAACTTTTTGTGATGTGATGGAAAATGTATGTGAGAAATATTTTGATTCACTTAAATTTCCCTGATTATCTTAAGGTAAAATACTTTCAAAGGAGCTATTAAACCTGAAGATCAGTTTTACAACTATTTTTTGCACAGAACCAAGTGTTCCAAATTTTTTTGACCTTTCTGAGATTACAAATGCTTACCATTACAGTCAGAGTAAAAAGAATGTTTCACCAGTGAGACAAAAGGGAACTACTTTCAGAAAAGGACTTCAAGCTGAGTGTGTGGTTCAATGGAAGAGTGCTTGTCTAGCAAGTGCAAGGCCCTGGGGTTGACCTTCAGCACTATAGATGGAGAGGCAGATAGACAGACAGACAGATAACAAATAGAGAGAAGAGGGAAAGCAGGCTGCAATATAGGGAAACATACTGAAAATGGTACTTTCACATCTATACAACTAAACTCTTGGAAGCAAGAGTTTTCTAACTTGGTTTAAAATCTAAGAATTTTGGTAAGTTTTGAACTCATTTACTAATGAAGTAAAACTGTGGCATCTTCTGATTAATGCAGAATGATAGGTCCATCCCAAGAAAGGGGATATTGACTAGCCAGATTTCAATAAGAAACATCATTCCAAAATTGGCAGAGAGAATGGAAAAATGTGAGTATTGCAACACACTTGCATTTGGATCTCTCTCTTAGAAGGAATCAGCTAAAAAGCTGGTAGAACCAATTACTGAAATTAGAACCAGACTTTTGAATTATTCAAAATGTGTTAAAATGAGATTTCAAAAATAAACCTTATTTTATACATAAACATACGTTTGGGACACGTGTACATGGGGATTAGAGATGACTCTTCAAGGGCAGGATGTCTAAGACCTTCCAGACATTGAAAGGAAGATGAACAAACAGATGCAAAGGAAAGTGTTAAGAAGGAAAAGCAGTATGGATCACGTGACACACACATATAGCCGGACCAAGGGATGCCACTGCAGGAGTAGAACACTTGTTCTGGATAATCCAACCGTGAGACGATCCTGAGGGGACATACCTCAGCAGGGAACAGCCACCAACACAAAAAACAGCAAGTGTATGGCATGGGCAGAGCAATGTTAGACTGGTTCACACCTTCAGCAAGAATTCATCGCTTACTTATTTTGTGCTGGAGTTTATGGGAGGTCCTGAAGCAGACTACGAATTTGACAAGAGAATGTGCCTTTTAGGAGCTGCAGGTCTACAGGAGGAATTAAGCACATACATGTATGATTAAAATACAATGTGAGCAACTGAATTTCAATGATCTCTGCAAGGAAAAAAAAAACTGGAGCCAGGAACTGAGCTTCTGCATGAAGTCACATCTATCAATCCCTTGATTAGTAGGACAATGAGATTAAATGTGTATTGTTTCCAACCACAGATGGATTACAACTGTGTATAGTTCACTTTCTACTTAAATTAAGCATGGTTCTGTAGAATACATACTTCCAGTTCCCCAAGAACTGTGCACACATCTGGTTGCTATTTCCTTTCTATCTGTACTTCTTCCTCTCCCGAGACCCTCATCATTCTGGCTGCATGTTGACCTGTACGCCTCAGTTTCAAGGCCTTCTCCTCAGCCTCTGCTTGTCCCTCATCGGAGTGTCAGTGCTGTTATCATCTGCACCGTTCTACCTTCCGATACCCCATGCACAAAGGTCACTGCGGAAAAGCTGCTTTCGGGAGAGAGCCTACAGTTTCTGACTCTTAAGTTTCAGCCCCTGAATCTTCTGGCCAGTGATTCCACATACCACTACCTGCACTTGAGGAGCTGGGTAGAGCAGGTGGTTTTTATACACTGTCCCTTGGTAGAAGAATACACAAGTGGGGTTGACAGGGCAAAACTTTCTAGACCTCAACAGCTCAAGAATTTTATGGTTTACCAATTTTACATCAACAGTGATGTCAGCTCTATTAGCATTCACCTTGATCTTACAGTTGAATTTAACACTAAACAAAATTTTTAATCAGCATAACAACATCTTTTTATAGCTTATAGGAATTCCATTTCCCTCCCATTTCTTATTTTACACCCTAGGGTTGGCAACATGGCTGAAGTGGTAAGAGCACCTGCCTAGCAAGCATGAGGCCCTGAGTTCAAACCCCAATGCAGCAAAAATAAATAAATAAATGTCATTTTACATCCTAAATTTACAGATCTACCATTAGCCCAATTGACATTTTTCAAGGTTTTTATTTTTTTAATTTTATGTATGAAATATCAAACCATATGCTATTATCCAAAGAACAGTAGATCTGTGTTTCAAATGAAGCACTTCTAAATATATTCATCTATGTCATTAAAAGTAGGATCTGAGGGTGTGGCTCAAGTGATAGAGCACTTGTCTAGCAAGTGCAAGACCCCAGCCCTGCTCCCCCCAACCAAATAATAATATCAAACACCCACTCTACATCTAGTTGCCTACTCAAAAGAAGAAGTTCTTTGGAGCCCACCGTCTAGTGAAGGGGACAGACATGGCCACTAATAACTGATATGTAGGACAACATGACAAGGAGGTCAATGGCCAGACCCATTTAAACAAGGAAAGGACCATGAGCCTGCCATGGGGGCAGACGAAGACTTCACAGAAGAGGTCAAGTAGGAGTGGAGTTCTGAGGCTGCACAGAAGTGCCCGAGAAGAGCCAAGGGAGACAAAGTGCAGTATGCTCACACAGTGCAAGGGCAGAGGCAGACTGCAATGCTGAGGACATGGGACAGAAGGAACACATGGGCATGGGGAGAGAAGAGGCTAGGGAAAGAAAGGGGAGGCTTCCCTTAAGGGTTTTGTATGCAAAAGAGGGCATTTGGCTTGGGGCTCCAAACAGTCCCCAACAACTGCAGTCAGGAGTGCCTCACAACCAGATTCATGTTTTATAAGATCACTCTGAAATAAACTGGAAGCAAAAGAAGCCAGATATGAGACTTGCCTAGTTCAACTGATAAATACCACCAGCTGAACTAAAGAACAGCAGGATACCGAAAAGGAAAGAACAGATGTCACAAGCATTTCAGAGGCCAGGTTAACAGGCGTTGGTGACAGGCTGGAGGAAGGGCGTTAATAGAGAGCCATGTCTAGGAAGACCCCTAGGTGTCTGGTGATAACCAAATCCTCCCCGCCACAAAACTACTTCTCCCTTAACGTGAGGCCATCTGCCAACTTCCAGCCCACATCAACCTTGATTTCCAAAGCAGAAGCCAGGAGTAAACAGAACTAATTCCTAACTTACGAAATATCAGATCTTAAACTCCTTAGGGGCTGACCACAGAATAGTAGAGATGGGAACCCATCAATTGAATGAGAATATTTAAATCACAAAAGGTTTCCATCTATGAACCACCAAAAGCTACAAAGTGTTAAACAGAAATTTTCAGAATGAGTAAATGATGAAGTGGTACAATATTTTCAGGGAACTTTGTACCCAAACCAAATACCAGCAAATCAATTATTAATTACTGAGTCTCCACATGCCCACCAGAGACTGACCAAGCCCGTGACAGGATACAGTGAAATACAGCATCCACCCCCAGTGTGTTTGCCTTCCTCTCACATTCGGCATCAGAGCACAGTTCCTCATAAATAGTTAACTTAAACTTACCAGGTTAACACCAAAAAGCTAAGCAGAAAATCATATACTGACAGCCTCCATTTTAATTAATACTCTAGTATTCAAACTTTTATTGAGTTCTAAAGATAGTTTTATGTTAGGTATTTCATACTTACACTAAAAAAAAATGCAGTCTATAGTCACCTTCCTGTGCCACTTTAACTAATTTTTGACAAGGGAATATACATATATTTTCTTTACTTTGGTACAAAACACTGATTTTCTGTAATCATCTGACTCAAGATGCTGAGGAGTCTTCATAAAGGACTTCATCTACCTTCATGTCATGCTCATCCACTGGGACCTGGAGGCAGATCTGCTCTTTGAAGGCCAAGGCCATGATGTACGGCTTCACTTCCTGATGCTGAAGACAGCGCTTCAGGTAGGCATCATAGTAGCCCCTGCCCCTGCCCAGCCGGTTGCCATCTTTGTCAAACCCAAGACCTGGTATGAAGATGAGATCAAGTCCTCCTGTGGAAAAGAGGAGCAAATTTAGAATGGCATGTGGGTTTGTTTTCTAATGACATTTATTCTTTGTCTGATTTCTAAAGAAATACAGCATTACTATAGAGAATCCCCAAACCAGAGTTGGACAAAGAAGGAAATAGCAATTACTCAGCAACTTAGTACTGTATCCACCCTTCCAGCAGCTCTTTTGTGTATATCCCTATAAAAATGCCAGATTCCACAGGGCCAACCACACCAGTTAAAGAGAATTTCCAAGAATGGGGTCCAAGAATTTTTTTTTCTCCAGCAGGCAGGTGATTCTACACACCTGTCAGGTTTGGGAATCAATGCCCCGAGGATAATGACAGGTGGAGGAGTGGGAAGGGGTGAAGGGGAAGTCAGCGAGAGCTGTTTTCAAAGTGGGTAAGCAAGAGAGGATTAGGTATTAAGAGCACCAGACCAGCCTGCCCCCTCTTTGTTTCTCTACCATTAACAGGCAAGGCCAGGCTGCCAGGCTGTCCCAGATTCACATGAGAGGGAATTGACCTACTCAGAAACATCCCAAAGGTACAAGACAGAGTCCCATATCTGGTCCTCTGTCTGGAACAACTCCCAAGTAGCACTGGGAATGTTGGGGGAATGGCTCAAGTGATAGAGCACTTGCCTAGCAAGCACAAAGCCTTGAGTTCAAACCCCAGTACCACCAAGTTAAAAAACAAAACAAAAAAAAACCAAGTAGCACTTGGACCAGACCAGCCATGGCATCATGGCACAGAACAGTGTTGGGGCTCGGGTGAAGGAGGGTCCTGTTGGCTGTAAAGGTCACCACAGTGATAGATGTGTGGGGACTGCCATAAAGAAGGCAAGAAAGGTTACTAGGTGGAGGACCTGGGTGAGTCTTAAGAACACAGGGAATAGTCCTTCAGGTCCTACAGGGAACACAAAGTACAACAACGGGCACATGAACCACCTCACATATCCAGCCCAGCAGTCTGCCCTGGGGTTTCCAGGACAGGGCCTTGGCCCCCTGAAGGCCGTCCTGGGGACTTCTGGGTGATCTACAGCTTAGTCATGGACTAACCACTCACACAGTATTGCCACAAGACATACCAGGATTGGAAACCAAGAACTCCAGAACCGAGTGTTAGGAGTAGAGATGCCGAGACTGCCAGTGAAGCTGGCCCCCACTATCAGCAGATGTCCCGACTCCCTGCAGAACTGTGAGAACGCAGCTTCTCTCTGCCTCCCAGCTCATACCTGTCAACCCTGCCTGCCAAAATCCAGCAAAGCAGACCAGGTTACAGTCATGACCTTCCCATGTAAACCTGCCTGTGTATTCCAATCCCTATCTGCTACAAGGCCCCAGTCACTGACCTGTGTCTTTCCTCCCTGCCCCAGCCCAGCTTATCTGTCTCTCCAGGAATGGTCAGTGGCCTGTGCACTTGGACTCTGCTCCTTCAGATCCTCCTTCTGTTGCCAGAGCATTCTCAGTTGAAGGTCAGCTCTGTCTTCCAAACCTAGACACATGCTCACATATTTTCCTAGGATCCCTTCCTCTTTATAGTATGAAAAGGACTTTGAAAGTTTTCTGGGGACACCCAGTTCCTGTTTCTGCAGATGCCAGTTCAGTTGTCATAAAATTTACATCTGTGTAACATTCATCTATTTCAGTTCGAGACGCTTCTGCCAATGTCCTCCAAACAATAGAGACAGCAGGTAATAGAGACTCCAGCACAGGAAAGGTGGTCAGGGAAAGATTCATGGAGTACTCTGACTTGGCCTGGGCTTTTAAGGACGTGTCAGATTTGAGTCTGGGTATATTCCAGAAAGCAAAAGAAGGACAAGAGGAGAGAAGCAAACTGCTGAGAAGGAGTGGGCACAGCTTATTTGCTGGAGAAGGAGGACCAGGCTGAGGAGCAGCAGAAAATGGGGGGTATGCAATTCCCTGGTATAATTTTAGTAGGAGTATAAAATGGTACAGTTGCAATGGAAAACAACATGTGAGTTTTTCAAAAAAATAAAAAATAGAGCCAGGTGCCAGTGGCTCACACCTGCAATCCTACCTACTCAGGAGGCAGAGATCAGGAGGATCAAGGTTCGAGCCAGCTCAGGCAAAAAGTAAGGAGACCCTATCTCAAAAAAAAAAAAAAAAACCCAACACAAAAAAGGGGCAGAGGCATGGCTCAAATGGTAGAGTGCTTGCTTAGCAAGTATGAGGCCCTGAGTTCAAATCCAATACCACCCCCCAAAAAAATTTAAAATTATCAGAGGATTTAACATCCCACTTCATAGTATTTATCCAAAAGAAATGAAATCAGAGTCTCAATGAGATTTTTGTACTTCTATGGTCATTGTGGCATTATGCACAATAACCAACAGGTAGAAACATCATGGTAGGAATAAAGAAAATGTACTTGCATACAGTGGAATATATTTCAGCCATGAGAAAAAAGGAACAGATAGCAGATTAGAAGCGTCCACCATTTTGACTTTGTGAATAAGAGTTATGTAACACAGGAGAGACTATATTCTGCAGAGAAAGAGGAAGACATGAGGAATCATGAAGGAGGTCACAGGATGGTGAGAAACCACAGAGAAATTGAGGCAACAGAAAAGCAGCACAGTTCTAGGCCCATCCCCAGGTTCCTAGGAGGGGAAGAGAAATCTGAAGACACTATCACAGGGTAAAAACATCCAATCAAAAGATAAAGATTGGAGAATTTGGTTAAAAACCAAGACCTGGGCCTGGGGTTGTGGCTCAAACATTAGAGTGCCTGCCTGGCAAGCATGAGGCCCTGAGTTCAACCCCTCAGCACAAAAAAAAAAAAAAAAACAAAAAAACCAAGACCTGATCACTTGTTGCTCATAACAAATACATTTCACTGACAAACACCAACAATGGCTTACTGTAAAAGAATGGAAGAGATTTCTAAGCAAATGGACACCAAAAGCAGGCAGGAGTAGTGATACTCATATCTGATAAAACAGACTTCAAACCAAAATTAATCAGAAGAGAAAAGAAGGTCAGTTCATATTAATAAAGAGAACAATTCATCAAGAGGAGAAACTAATTTTTAACATATATGCACTAAACATTAGTTCACCCAATTTAATTATACAAACACTAATGGACTTATAAGCACTGATAGACCCCCAAAAACAGTAATAGTGGTTGACTTCAATACCCCACTCTCAGCAATGGATAAGTCATCCAGACCCCTCTCCCTCCAAAAAAAATCAAGAAAATTCACTTTAGAATTAATCAACACTATAGTTCAAATAAACTTAACAGACATCTATAGGATATTTCATCCAGCAGCTGTATGATACACATTCTTCTCAGCAGCCCATGAAATGTTCTTTAAAATAGATCACATTGTAGGACACAAAGCAGGTCTTAACAAATGTAAGAAAATTGAACTAGCCCCCTGTATTCAATTAGATAACAATGGAATAAAAAAACTACACAAAATATTCAAACACATGGAGACTAAACAATACACTGTTGAACAACCAGTGGGTCACTAAAAAAAAAAGGAAGAGGCATCAAAATCAAAATACAACCTACCAGTACCCCTGGGATACAGCAAAAGCAGTGTTAAGAAGAAAGTTTATAGCTATGAGCATCTACATTAAAAAAAAAAAAAAGCAAAAAAAAACAAGACCTCAAATATATAACCTAACAATGCACCTCAAATTCCTAAAACAACAAGAATAAGCCAAACCCAAAATTAGTGGGTAAAAAGAAATATTTAAGATTAGAGCAGAAATTAATTAAACAGAGACTTAAAAAACCTTATAAATAATCAATGAAACAAAAAGTGGCTCTTTGAAAAGATAAGTTAGATTGATAAACCCTTAGACAAACTGACCAAAAGGGAAAAGACCTAAATTAATAAAATTAAGAAATGAAAACAGGGATATCATAACAAATACCAATGAAATTCAGAGGATTGTTTTAGAATACTTTGAAAACCTATTTTCTAATAAGCTGGAAAAGCCAGAAGAAATGTATGAAGTTCTAGCTTCATCTGACCTACCAAATTGAACCAAGAGGATGTAAACCACTTAAACAGATCTATAACAAGTAATGAGACTGAAGTAGTAATAAAGAGTCTCCCAACAAAGAAAAGTCCAGGACCCAATGGATTCACTGCCAAATTCTACCACTTTTAAAGAAAAAATAACACCAATGCTTCTCAAAGTATTCCATGAAATAGAAAGAAAAGGAATATTGCCAAACTCATTCTATGAAGCTAGTATTACCCTGATATCAAAACTGGAGGATAAGGACATAACAAAAAAACCAAAAATTACAGACCAATTTCTTTAATGAATATAGACACAAAAATCTTCAATAAAATACTTGCAAACCAACTTTAACAACATATTGAAAAGATCATGCACCATAATCACATTAGTTTCATTCCAGGGATGCAATGATGGTTCAAAATACACAAATCAATAAATGTACTGCAACATTTAAGTAAATTCAAGGACAAAAATCACATGAATCACCTCAACAGATGCAGAAAAGCCTTTGACAAAATTCAACATCCTTTCATGATAAAGTTTCTGAAGTAGCTATGAATAAAAGGAATATACCTCAATAAAATAAAGGCTATAGCTAATATCATACTAAATGGGGGGGGGGCGACTGAAATTATTTCCTCTAAAGTCAGGAACAAGATAAGGGTGACACTCTCTCCACTCTTATTCAATATAGTATGAAATTTATAACCAACACAATAAGGCAAGATAAAGAAATAAAAAGGATTCAAATAGATAAGGAAAAAGTCAAATTCTACATCTACAAGTAGGGATACTTATAGATGGTATGATACTATACTTAAAAGACCCTAAAGAGTCCACCAAAAAACTTACGGATCTGATAAACACAGCAATGCACCAGGATACCAAATTATCATATAAAAGTCAGTAGTTCTTTTATATACCAACAATGAACAGGCTGAGAATGAAATTAGAAAAATAATTCCACTCACAATACCCTAAAAAAATGCCTA